GCAAAACCCCTTAAAAGTCGGGCATCCTAAACAGTATTCGTTAATAACCCAAGAAAGACAAGAGAGATGGTGGAGTTAACTTTTAAATGGAATAACTCCCGCTGTCCGTACATTGCAGAATGAAATGAAAAGCAAAATATTTTTAGGGCAATAGAAGATTAGCGACGATTTCAAGATGCGCTCCTCTACAGCCCCAGTGAAGCTCCATTATCAACATAAATGCACAGACTTGGCTTGTGTGTAGTTTCGATTACGAACGAAGAAATATTACGAAATTGGCATAACACCAACGAAAAAGTGCGAAGCATCGAATTCAAGCACATACACTAAAAAGGCCTCGTCCATCGTCCTGGTTGAGTCGGCGATCCAACATTACTTCCAAATGACCTGACATAAAACTACAGTCAAATAATGAACGCAGTACAGGGAACGGTCACTCCTTGAATTATATGGACAAATACAGCCCCATGGGCTGAATCGGTGGGGTTCTTAGGTAAGACCTCGCAGAGAAAATTAACCAACATTTCTAAATACTGTGAGACAAAGATGATGTCAATTCTCGAAATGGGAATTTAACGTGCCCCATATGCAAGACATAGGCGCACTTGAAACTTGATTTCACATTTTTAGAGCCATGCACGGACAGGTAACGTCCTCTAAAACACTGACTTTCTGGCTCGTTCAATTTAAAAGAGAGAAGGATGCTGACAGTTTTACAAGTTAAGTTTCAGCGTACTTAAAAGTTCAGAACACGAGGCACAGATGTGCGCGATAACTCGTTTTACAGTTAATGCCTGCACAGGAACAGCAGACATCCACGTAAAATTTACAGCTTTCTCACCCTGTCTGGTTCTTGAGTTAAAACGGTGCCAACACTATCCCAACTTGAAGTCTAATTTGCGTGTGCGTGCAACGCAAGAGCGCGCGAAACTGGATTTAAATTCGTTGGATTGGACATGGACAGAGAATATCGTGAGAATTCAACTTTCCAGCTTGGCTGATTCACAGCCTAGCCCACAAAAAATATCTTTGACATTCCCATATATGAGGAAAAAGACGTGTATTTTCACTTTGCGTCTGGAGACTCAACCACTGTGATGAACTAACTTGCCATTCTTGCCTTCATAACTTTCCTTAAAATATGCGCTTCCGCATTTCACTAATAGCGCAGAAAAAGAAACCTGATGTAAGACTTGCAACTCCCAGCGGCTGTGCAGTGAGCAGTGTCATTCGTAGTGACTTATCTTCGATGAAAGCGGATGCCGACATCGGATAGAAATGAGCTTGCAATGGTAATTTTTCAAATCTCCGTCGCTTGATCATCTACAACTGATAAAAAAATCAAATCACACGCCTAAGAGGGTTTGTTCATAATTTCCTACATAAAAATTTCCCGAGTAAAATTGCCCGTGCTCGCATCCGAAAGAGAAGTGCACACGAAAGCTGAATTTGAAGTTCCAGGACTGTAAAATGTCATAACAAATATTTAGACTTCCACAGGGGCGGCTCCCCAGCTAAAAAATTTCACGCTAAAATTCCCGCGTATTCGCACTAAGATCTAGATGTATATAGAATCTGGATTTAATTTTTCGGGATCGCACATGCGTTTGGAACATTACCCTGAAATTTCAGTTCCCTAGCTTTTCTGGTTCACAAGTCGACAACTCCAGGGGCGCACAAACACACATACATACATACAATACATACATACACACCTAAACAAACACATATATAGAAGGCGCCTCAACAATGTACGTTTTGTGCAACTGATACAGTACAAAACGCATGAAAAATGGCATTTATCACACTTTCTTTTGTTTGAGAAACAATTCAGCATAACTAATAACAATTCTCTTCACCCTTCGCTACTATGCTAGGAGTTGACACTGTATCAGTATGTGCTTCCCGAGGTATGGGATTCAAGATGAAGAAGTATCAGCAGCGACACTTTTACAATTAATCTGCAGTACCTGAAATGCATTGAGATCGGTGAAAAATTCGTCGCCACTTTCTATAGTAGTTTGAAGGCGCATTGCCATCTCGAAATTCTTCGTTGCTCGCAGATCCACCACATTCTCGATTTCAATGAATTGTGATAACATAGGCAATCGGATTGTGTGCATGAAGCTTATTTTCCCACCTTCGGCTACTAGCACCTGTTCAAAAACAGATGACCAGTGG